GGGGGGGGGGGGGGGGGGGGCCGCGGGCAGAATGGCTGGAGAGTGTTCTCAGCTGCAGCACCCGGACAAGAGGCTCGAGATGTTTCTGCTGCCTCATCCTGAGGTTCTCCAGCTTCCAGTCCATTCTGGGAACAAGGCACTAGCCTGCCAGTGAATTCCCTTTCTGTTCAAACTAGCCAGATCGGTTTGTTGCTTGCAGCCAAAAAACTTTAAAAAGTAAAAGCAGAGGGATAGAGAAGAGAAGGGAGGATGGAGTCCTTCCACCAGAAAAGGAAGGATGTGTATTCTTACATCAGCCTGACTCACTGTGTGGCCTCAGGCCCGGCATTCAGCTTCTCTGGGCCTCGGTGCCATCCCTGGGGAGACAGTGGGGCTTCTATGTGCCTGGCCACCTGGCAGGCTTGGGGGTCCAGATGAGATGACCTCTGTGAAGGGGTCAAGGCGGGCCATGGGCCCCACCTGGGGACGGTGCTGTGAGTACGGGGCAGAGGGTAGCAGGGCGGGCGCTGAGCCGGTTGGTCCCCACGGGCAGAGCTGCAGCAGAAGGCGGATGAGAACGAGCACCTGAGGCTGGAGCTGCAGATGGTGGAGACAGAGAGGGTGCGGCTGTGCCTGCTGGGGGAGAAGCTGGAGGACGTGCTGCGGCTCCTGCGGAGGCTCCGGGACCTGGTAGGCTCACGGGAGCTGGCACAGCCGGGGCGGGGGAGGAGCTTGGGGTGCGGGGCTGGGGAGCCCGGCCTGGGTCGGGGACTGGCTCTGAGCTTTCCCCACGTGGGCAGGGCTCATCTCTACTTCCAGATGTAGAAAGAACTCAGGGAAGCTAATCCAAAAGAGGGGAGGCTCTCTAATTCATTTTATGAAGCTAATATAACTTTGATCTCAAAACCAGGGGACAATAAATATAATAAGAAAGGAAAATGATAAGCTAATGTCATATTTAAATATGGATGCAAAAATATTAAATAGCGTATTAGTAAACCAAATCTGGCAGTGTTTAAAGAAATGCAGTATGACTAAATTGGATTTATCCCAGGAATTCAAAGATGATTCAAGATCAAACATCTATTAACACAGTACACCACACTGCAGATTAAAAGGAGAAAAACCACGTGTTCATCTCAATAGATGAACAGTCAGTAACAGCTCCTCTTATTATAAAACCTCTTGGCAAGTTAAGAACAGGAGGGATCGTCCTTAATCAGATTAGGAGTCTCAGCCAACTACCTCTCACAAACCTCACAGTTATTAGTGAAATGTTAGAAGGAATCCTTCTAAAAATCAGAATCAAGACAAGCATGCCTGTCATCACTGCTTGTGCCACGTAGAGGTTCTATCCAATGCAGTAGCACAAGAAAAAGAAAGGATGTGGGCTTCCCTGGGGGCACAGGCGTTAAGAATCCGCCTGCCAATGCAGGGGCCACGGGTTCGAGGCCTGGTCTGGGAACATCCCACATGCCGCGGAGCAACTAAGCCCATGCGCCACAACTACTGAGCCTGTAAGCCACAACTACTAAGCCCACATGCTGCAATTACTGAAGCCCACGCACCTAGAGCCCGCGCACCACAACGAAGAGCAGCCCCCGCTCACCACAACTAGAGAAAGCCCGCACAAAGCAATGAAGACCCGACGCATAAATAAATAAATAAATAAATAAATAGAAAAAGAAAGGATGTAAGGACTAGAAAGGAAGAAACAAAGTGATTAGTAATTATGTATCACATTTATCCACGTAGAATACCGAAGAGAATCTAAAGGCAAATTATTGTTATTCTTTGGCAAGGTGTCCAATTTTAAAAAAAACCGTAAGACAGAGATCAACATTTCTAAATAGCATCAGCAAACCATTTAAAAATTTTCCTTAAGAGACACTAACTTAGCCAGGATTGCACAGCCACTATGAGCTGGAAGTAGGATGTGAACACAGGTCTTCAGGGCTTGAAGTGGGCTCTGCCTGCGCTTCAGGCTGCCCAGGATGTAGGGCTACCGAGGCCCAGCCTGATATGACACAACTTGGGAGAGTGGCAAGTGGCAGCCCCGTACCTGTGGGCTCTGAGGGTAGTGGTTCCCAGCACAGCTCTGGGCCACGGAGCCTGCGGGCAAATGCTGGTTCTTCCATCTCCCAGCTGGGTGGCTTTGGGCAGATTTCTCATTTTCTCAGCATTGCTTTTTTTTTAATTTTTAAAAAATTAATTAATTTATTTTTGGCGGTGTTGGGTCTTCATTGCTGTGTGCGGGCTTTCTCTAGTTGAGCAGGGGCTCGAGGCCCAGCCTGATATGACACAACTTGGGAGAGTGGCAAGTGGCAGCCCCGTACCTGTGGGCTCTGAGGGTAGTGGTTCCCAGCACAGCTCTGGGCCACGGAGCCTGCGGGCAAATGCTGGTTCTTCCATCTCCCAGCTGGGTGGCTTTGGGCAGATTTCTCATTTTCTCAGCATTGCTTTTTTTTTAATTTTTAAAAAATTAATTAATTTATTTTTGGCGGTGTTGGGTCTTCATTGCTGTGTGCGGGCTTTCTCTAGTTGCGGTGAGCAGGGGCTACTCTTTGTTGTGGTGCACGGGCTTCTCATTGCGGTGGCTTCTTTAGTTGTGGAGCATGGGCTCTAGGCATGCAGGCTCAGTAGTTGTGGCTCGCAGGCTCTAAGCGCAGGCTCAGTAGTTGTGGCACACGGGTTTAGTTGCTCCGCGGCATATGGGATCTTCGCAGACCAGAGCTCGAACCTGTGTCCCCTGCGTTGGCAGGCAGATTCTTAGCCACTGCGCCACCAGGGAAGTCCCCAGAATTGCTTTTTTCACTGCTTAAAATGAGAATAAAATAAGCTCTTTCAAGGATTAAAGGAGCTGATGCTTCAAGAGGTTCTCTGTTCACAGTCGTTTCCCAAGTGCCTACTTGGGCACAAGGACAGTAATCTGTAAGCATGTGATCTCTGAAGAAATGGGTCCTGCATGCTGCTCCATCGCTCACCTAGAGTCTGGGGAGTGTGGCCACCCTAGGGGTGGGGGCCAGGGAGGGACCATGGGCAGGAGGACTCTATCTGCCACAGGGAGCCACACAGAAGCTCGAAAGGGCCACCAAGTGCCACCCGCCCTCCATTTCTTTTTAAGAACATATCGAAAAGAGCCCTGGGGAAGATTTTGCTGAGCACACTGGACGCTTGCAGGGACCCTGCACATGGTAGGTGAGCCCCCGACCCCATCTTCCAGAGCCTGGCTGCAGCTGGAGGGCATCATGACCTAGCACCTCTGTCCTAAGTGTCTGGGCTGCAAAATGCCACCTCATTCCTGCCCTGCCCACCTGCAAAGGGTACATTCAGGAACAGGCTTCGGGAAGCTGAAGGTGCTATTTGACAAGAGCAGGAAGCACACACCCCAGGGAAAAGGCCAAACAGAAGCCAGTATGGCCAGAACTCAAGGTAGCCAGGCAGTTCCCTGTGGGCAGTTTAGACTCACCCACAGTCCTGGGCTTACTGCGGAGGAAGGGCTGTTATCATACCCATTCCACAGATGGGAAGATGGAGGCGCAGAGAGGCCAAGGGCCAGCCGTGCCAAAACCTCAGGTCTCTCCCTTAAGTACTAGGCCACGTGGCCCCGTTGTTTAGACAAAGTTCAGGGCAGCAGAATTTCATCAGTGCCAGCTTGTGCCCAATGAAATCAGGAGGAGCAAGGCCGGCTCCTGCCTGACAGGGCCTCACAGGCTGGTGCGGAGACAGATGGCTGATGAGCATTTGCTCGCTGGCCTCACTGGGCACCGCTGGGCAGGGCTCAGGTATGTCCAGTGCCCCGAATGGTCCCTCGCACCAAGGAGGAGGTCATAAACTGTGCATTAGAAGGTCCCTTCCCCAGGGTCCTCAGTGGGAGAGAAGCAAGAGGGGGGGACAGCTGAACAGGGCTGGGAGGGCCCAGGGAGGCAGGCGAGCAGCTCTGTGGGCCAGAATGAGCAGACTGACCCGCTCTGTTGCCCACTCTTCCTTTTCAGAGGGGACGTCTGGCCCCTCAGCCATGCTGGATGCCCTGCACCGAGCTCTGGCTGGCTGTGAGCTCCTGCGTAGAGAGCCCTTGGCACCAGCCTCTGCAGCTCCAGCACTCAGCAACTCCCTCCTCATCTCCTGCTGAGGCTGCTAGCCCAGTCTGTGGGCCCCCTGGGCAGCCTGGCCACCATCAGACCGGCCTCGAGGAGCAGCCTGGCCACCATCACATCCTCAGAACCCTGGAGGTGCAGGCTCCTTCTGAGACTGGCCCAAGTTCAGAGCCCGGCAGCCATCCCTTCCTTGGGTTCCTCCCAGATTCCCTTGCGGCCCCCGCATTCCTG